AGGCCAGGCCTGGCGGCTCATGCCTGTAATCCCAGCACTTTGGGAGGCTGAGGCAGAAGGATGGCTTGAGGCCAGGATACGCTGCTCCAAAAAAAATTAAAAAATAAAAAAAAAAGGTTGTAATTATCTCAATAAAATAATATTGTTTCTTCTCATATGGAATTAATTGCAATATCTGATTTTCTTTTTGAGCAGTATTTTAAAATAACATTTATTAGGGGGTAGCGTTTATCTTCGTGGCTGAGTTACTATGTAGGTTATCTGACCAAAAAATGTTCTTAAGAAGGAATTAGAGAATTAGGGAAGAAATATAACTAGTAAACAATTTCCATCTTCACTAATTACTAAATGTTTTAAGAAAGAGATTTAATTATTTTACCTATCATATTAGCAAAGATTTAAAAAATTATAATATTTAATTCTAGCAAGGGGGCATGTAACAAAAATGTTGGCAAATGAAATATATATTATTGGCCAGAAATCCCTTTGGCCAGATGTAACAAGAGATTTAAAAGGGTGTGAATTCTTTAATTTAGTAATTGCCTTGGGAGCTGAGGATTCCTAAATATTCCTAAATATGGAAAAAGCTTTATCCCCAAAGATGTGAGTAGCAGCATTATTTATATAAGAGGAGAATAGGGAATATTCAAAATATATTTTAGAGCAGGTATCCCCAACCCCTGGGCTGTGGACTGGTACTGGTCCATGGCCTGTTAGGAACCCGACCGCACAGCAGGAGGTGAGCAGTAGGAGAGCAAACATTATCGCCTGAGTTCCGCCTCCTGTCGGATCAGCAGCGGCATTAAATTCTCATAGGACTGTGAACCCTCTTGTGAATTGTGCCTGTGAGGGATCCGGGTTGTGCACTTCCTATGAGAATATAATGCCTGATGATCTGAGGTGGAACAGTTTCATCCTGAAACCACCCGTCATCCCCCTCCCCATTCGTGGAAAAATTGTCTTTCACAAAACCGATCCCTATGCTGAAAAGGTTGAGGACCACTGTTTTAGAGGACTAGGTGAGTGAACCATAGTATAATCTACTTGGATCCCCTGAAAATGTTTACAAAGACGCCTGATAACATGGAAAAATCCTTCTATTATTAACTGGAAAAAAAAATCAAGATATAATGTATCTTTGTATTTTGGAAAACAAAGAAAAATGAATAGCAAATGACTGGATTTGCTCTCAGTTGTTATTTTAGAATTTTGTGAAGTTTTAAAGCGATTTTAATTTTTTTCTTATTTCCTTTTTTTTTTTTTGCAAAGTTTAGGGAGAAGAGGTCTTGCTCTGTTCCTCATGCTGGTCTTGAATCCCTGGACTTAAGCCATCTTCCCACATTCTAAACGTTAGCCTTCTAAAGTTGTGGGATTACAGGCTTGAACCACAGCATCCAGCCGATTTCAGTTTTTTATTTTTGTACATTTATTTTCTATGTTATCTTTAATGAGCCCTTATTACTTGCAAAAAGGAAAACAGGGAAAAAATAACAAATTGTGTTAGGTAGTCATCCAAGAATAATAGTTGGTGTTTTGATTCTTGCACTTGAGGGCCCATCTAAATCAAGATATTCCTAGTTTTCTGTGATTCTGTGATTTCTTGCTAAGCAGAGGCTGGGTGAAGACACCTGGGCTTGCTGTGCGACAGTTCCTGGAGAAGGAGTTTGTGGGGAGGCAGTACTTCAAAGTGCAGTTAGGCAGGTGGCCTGTGGCCTGTGGGGGCAGCATTTGACATGGTGGGGAGCATTTCACTAGACTGCTGGAAAGATCATGGAGATAGCTTAACACTCCTGGAAACTGATTATCAGATTGTCATCCTGGGGATGTTCCTGACTGTTTAATGAAAATGTCAGATCTCCTATGTGACACAGGAGACTGTTTCTCCCTCAGTTCATAGGCCTCCTACCAAATCATCTTTTGTTTCTCTAGGAGGAAAATCTCTAATAAATGCTTTTCTCCTAATGGACGATCACATCCATCTCATTCAAATTCAAAATAACCTTTTTTTCACCTCCAAATACATGATCTTATTTGATCTTGATGATTTGATCTTTGAGGTAGGAATTATCTGCAGTTTGAGGATGAGGAAACCGAGAAAAGATCTTATGGAGAGGGCAATGCGCTTATCTGTAAATGGTGGTTTTTAAGGCTTCATTTGTTTCTCTCATATCATATAATAACAATGAAAACAACAATAATATCTGCTACTTACAGAGCCCATTCTATGCGTCCGGCCCTATTTCAACAGCTTTTCCTAATTGAGGTCATTTAATTCCCTCAATAATTAAGCTTGTGGAACAGGCCAGCCCTGATATTTGTAATGAACCTTCTGGAAGCTTCTTGGAGTCCTTATCCTAGTGATCTTTTTGGACCAAGGATGGGTTTGTCTTTTTCTTGGGAAACCACCAGATTGTCAAGTAACTGGAAAAAGTCAAGCGGGGAGGGAGTGCTAGTAAGTTTGCAGGTAGAGCACACGTTGGAGAGGTGTTCGCTTTGGGCACTTGTCACTATACCCTTTTTGCCCTCGTGCACCAGGACATGAATGGTTTCCCTTGTAGGTGTCTCCTGCACACATCTAACAAAGGAGGGTTTGTTTTGGGATGACAGGACGGGATAGGGATGCAGGTTTGAGAATTTTTGTTTTACTGGTCATGTTTTTCCTGATAGAATGCAAAGAGAAGGAGTCACTTTGGGGATGGGGAGGATGAAGGGGGATGTGGAGACCTTTGGGGGCTATTGTGTGGTGGTGGCACAGACATCTGCACGTGCACACCAATGCACGAGTGTGTATTTTGGTGGGACTGTTAGGGGATGATGCTGGAGACAGAGGAAGGCTAACAGGCATATTTCTGGAGATTCCACCTGGTCGAATCTCTGTGTCTGGCACCTGATGCAGCGCGTAACACGGGGTGGGGTCCTCAGCCAGCGTTTGCTCTGTTCACTTGAACTCAACCCCTATAAAGCTGGAGGGCACGGACAGGCTCCACCTGCAGTAGAGAGGCCGCTGGAGTTTCCTCCCTTTTTTCGTAGAGCCGCTGCTGCCCCCTTCTGGGGTTTACAGGTTGTTTCTGGGAGGAAATACTTAAGTTTAACAGCTTCATCCTTCACATATTGTAAAGCTTGGTGCTCCAAGTCCCACGATTCTTTAAAATTTTTTTTAAAGTTTTATTCACAATAGCAAAGTCACAACTCTTTTTTTTGTATAAATTTAAGGGGTACAAGTGCGGTTTTGTTACGTGAATATATTGCCTATTGGTGAAGTCTGGACTTCCGCTGTAACCATCACCTGAGTATTGTGCATTGTACCCATCAAGTAATTTCTCATCCCTCACCCACCTCCCACCCTCCCACCCTTCCATGTCTGCAGTGACAATTACTTCACACTCTATGTCCATGTGTTCACATTATTTAGCTCCCAGTTATAAGTGAGAATAGGTGGTATTTGACTTTCTGTGTCTGAGTTGTTTCACTTAAGATGATAGTTTCATCCATATTTCTGCAAAAGACATGATTTCATTCATTTTTATAGATGAGTAGTATTCCATTATACATATGTACACCACATTTTCTTTATCCAGTCCTCTGTTGATGGACACTTAGGTTGGGTCCATGACCTTGCTATTGTGAATAGTGCTGCAATAAACATACGGGTGCAGGTATCTTTTTGATATAATGATTTTCTTAAAAAAAATTTAAAGTTTTATTTTAGGTTTGGGGGCACATGTGAAGATATAATGATTTCTTTTCCTTTGGAGAGACGCCCACTAGTGGGATTGCTGAACTGAATGGTAGTTCTATTTTTAGTTCTTTGAGAAATCTCTCTACTCCTTTCCATAAAGGTTGCACTAATTTACATGCCTATCAGCAGTGTATAAGCGGTCCTTTTCCCCACATCCTTGCCAGAATCTATTTTTTGTCTTAATAATAGCTATTCTGACTGGTATGAGATGATATCTCATCATGATTTTAATTTGCATTTCTCCAGTGATTAGGGATATTGAACATTTTTTCAGATGCTTTTTGGCCACTTGTATGTCTTGTTTTGAAAACTATTCATGTCCTTTGCTCACTTTTTTTTTTTTTTTTGAGACGGAGTCTTGCTTTGTCGCCCAGACTAGAGTGCAGTGGCGTGATCTTAGCTCACTGCAACCTCCGCCTCCCGCATTCAAGCAATTCTCCTGCCTCAGCCTCCTGAATAGCTGGGACTATAGGTGCACGCCACCACTCCCGGCTAATTTTTTGTCATTTATTAGAGACGGAGTTTCACTGTGTTGCCCAGACTGATTGCGAACTCCTGAGCTCAGGTAGTCTGCCCTCCTCGGCCTCCCAAGTGCTGGGATTACAGGCATGAGCCACCGCGCTTGGCCTCCACTTCTTAATGGGATGATTTAGGGTTTTGTTGTTGTTGTTGAGTTGTTTGAGTTCCTTGTAAATTTCAAAACAGACCCAGTAGCTTATATTCTGCGAAAAGCCCCATTTCTGAAGGCAGTACATATCTTGGAGGATTTACAGTAGGATTTGGCTTTAATAGGGCTGGAATTGAAAGTGGGATTATTCTGTTCCGATAGTTAGAGTAGAAAGGCAGCTATGTTGAGAGTGAGGAGAACTCGACTCTCTATCAGCCATAAACCTTGGGCTTTGGCTTTCTGGGCCTCATTTTCCTTTTTTGTAAAACTAGGAGGCTAGACTGGATCATTTGTTTTCCGGAGGGAGTGACGGACTTTAGCAGGGGAATGGGGTCTTAAACTGTCCCCTTCCCCACAGCCTGTACCCCATTTCAGAGCAGCTCCACTTTGAGCGGTTTTATTTATTGGGTGTCAAATAAGATATTACAGGGAAAACATGTCCTTGAAAGTGTGAAAGCTACTGGACTAGATGATTTCTGAGATGCTTTCCACCCCTAATGGTGTAATTTTATAAACTTAATATTGAGTCAGAGACTTGGAAGCTGAAATCACAGTGCCTAAAATTTCTTGGTAAGAGCCTTGGATGTTTTGCAGGCGGACAGTCCAGAAGACATGCACAGCTGGATTAAGGAGATTGGGGCAGCTGTCCAGGCCCTCAAGTGCCACCCCAGAGTAAGTCAGTTCCTTTCTGTTGCACAGTGTCAACTCAGAGATGAACTCCCCTCGGACAGGCATGTTTTATTTGGTGATGTAGGCAAGCATCCCTGTCCCGAGATGCAGCTGAAGCCTCAGGCTGTCTTGCTTGTTTTTCTCATTCTACTAATTTGGGTACACATTTTTATTTTTCTCTTTTTGGTTGTGGGAGGAGATGAGGTAGGGTTGGATAGAGAAATGGAATTTCTTTTTTTTTTTGAGACGGAGTCTCACTCTGTCGCCCAGACTGGAGTGCAGTGGCACGATCTCAGCTTACTGCAACCTCTGCCTCTCGGGTTCAAGCAATTCTCCTGCCTCAGCCTCCCAAGTAGCTGGGATTACAGGTGCATGCCACCACGCCTGGCTAATTTTTTTGTGTTTTTAGTAGAAATGGGGTTTCACCATGTTGGCCAGGCTGGTCTCAAACTCCTGACCTCAGGTGATCCGTCCACCTCAGGCTCCCAAAGTGCTGGGATTTCAGGCATGAGCCACCGCACCCGGCCGAGAAATAGAATTTCTGGTATGTCCTGCAAGTCTCACTGCCAGGCTGACCTTGACATACCTGGAGTGAATCCCGTTGACCGTTTTTCATTTTTGTAGGCAAGCGTCCCTGGACCTACGAGGTGGTGATCCTGGTTGGGTACTCTTCCTGGGACTCTGTGATCAACATTGTCTGAAAAGCCCTAACTTTGTTGTGTCTTTTTCTTCCTTTTAATTTTATAGGAAACCTCCTTTTCTAGATCCATTTCTTTGACCCGACCTGGAATTTCCAGCCTTTCAAGTGGGCCCAACTCTATCCTGTGCAGGGGGCGGCCACCATTGGAGGAAAAGAAAGCCCTCTGCAAAGCCCCCTCTGTAGCCTCCTCCTGGCAGCCCTGGACACCTGTCCCCCAGACTGGGGAGAAGCTGCTTCCAGCTGGAGAGGCTTCAGAGGACTCTTTGTTCACGCCTCGTCCTGGGGAGGGCAGCACTGCTGGGGTGCTGCCCAGCTCCAGGATAAGGCACAGATCGGAGCCCCAGCACCCCAAGGAGAAGCCATTTATGTTCAACCTTGATGATGAAAACATACGGACCTCTGATGTGTGATGGAGCACAGTGCCGTGGGAGGGAGGGAGGGAAGACTTGAGAGAAGGAGACTGTGACTCAGTTTCTCTACCTTATTGGAGGGTAGTCAGAGGCCTTTATGTCACTCATATTCCTGTGGATGTTCTTTGGGAGGGAGGGGCCCATCCAGCTGGCTGTGTGTGTGTGTGTATGTGTGTGTGTATGTGTGTGTGTGCGTGATTTCAGTGCAGTGTATTTAATTTGGGGAAGTCACTAGGTTAGACCTGTAGGCATACTCCGTGGAGAGGAAGCTACCTATTCTATTCTAACTATTCCGAGGTCTTCCTGGAGAGGGATTATTTTAGCAGTTCCTCTCCAGAGGGGGCTGGAAGTCCAGTTTCACCACTGACCAAGTTTTATTTCCTTGTCCTTGTTTTAGTTTTTTCATTTTGTTTTCAGTCCAGGTGCCTCGCAGCTCTTTTGGAATGGGCCGGCGTTAGTCTAATCTTAAGCGCTGTGTGTTTTGTACCCTTGCAAACTTGCTTTCTCTTTCTTCTTGCTGTTGCCCTTTGAATGAAGCCTTGTGTGCTTGCATGATCAGACCCTGTAATAGGATGAGTTTCCATGTACTTAACATGAAGAGATACAAAAAGAATCTAGAGAGAGAGAGATTTTTAATCAAAGAAGCTTGGCATAGAAACATTGATTTAGAGGTTATGAGTTGCTGGCCAGAAATTCCTCAGATAAAAGAGCCTAGAAAATTGATTGTTGGGTGGGCGTGGTGGGTCACGCCTGTAATCCCAGCACTTTTGGGAGGCTGAGGTAGGTGGATCACCTGAGGTCAGGAGTTTGAGATCAGCCTGGTCAACATGCTGAAACCTTGCCTCTACTAAAAAATATGCAAAATTAGCCAGGCATGGTGGTACAGGCCTGTAATCCCACCTATTCAGGAGGCTGAGGCAGGAGATTCACTTGAACCTGGGAGGTGGAGGTTGCAGTAAGCCAATATTACGCCATTGCACTCCAGCCTCGGCAACAAGAGTGAAACTCCATCTCAAAAAATAAAACAAAATTGAGTGTCCCACCCAAATTTTAGGGCGTACCTCCTTCCATTTGACAAAAATATACTATTTCCAGTGTCCCTGGGAGAATTCTTCCATCCAATTTATATGGTGAATTGCTGCCAGCATTCAAAGGAAGAGAGAACTTAGCTTATTTCTGTCGGTAACTTTTATCAGCTAGATCAGTCAATTGTATTTTTAAGTTAAAAATTAGTGACCAGAGGAAGAGACTAAGAGAACTATTTTTACCTGAGTAAATGCTCTCCTCTTTGTGTGTCCAAATCTAATGCAGAGGTGAAAACACTTGATGAGAAAATCCTTAGTGGCTTGAGGGGAATCATGTTTCTTTCAGGACATGTTGTTTCCCTGAAGTCTGTGTCACCCTGAGAACTTTTTCTGACTGCACTGCTTTGGAGCTATTCATTTAAACTGAGTTTGGCCTAGTTGTCCTGGTATAAAACAGGAAATCCACACTGTTCCCTCTTTCTCTCCCTTCCATCCCTTCCTCTGCCTTTCCTGTACACGCTGGTGTGCTTTTGCCCTCAGAAATTCTTGGTTTGGGAGTTATTTATGAGTGATTACGACATACTTGGAGCAGCATGGTTTCAAGAAGCCATTCCAAATTCTTATAGCTCCTTAGCTCTGGTTTTACTCTCATATGTTCCCGAAGAAAATTCTTTGGCTATTCAAAGAAAGCACAAAATATGTGATGTGGATCTAATGAAAATGGGAACTTGTGAGATCTCTTTAAATATTCCCTGACTCACGGAAAAGATGTCCTCTTTTGGTGTTTACATTGTGAAAATCTACCCATTTATCTCTGTCTTTCTTTTCTTTTAAATAAATTATCTGATAGATTACTATTGCTAAATTAATTGGCCATTACAATAAGCTGATTTCTTATTCAGCAAGATCTCTCGAGAATGTGTTACATTAAACATATTTAGAATCCATATGGTATTATCCTGATAAAGGGAAACGAGGACACTAAGATTGTCAAATGGAAATCTTCTTGTCAATTGGCAGACACTTGGGAATTCCACGTTAGGGCATTGCTTGTTTTTAATTTTTAAAAGACAGGGTCTCACTCTCTTACCCAGGCTAGAGTGCAGTGGTGTGATCATAGTTCATCATAACTTTGAACCCCTGGGCTTAAGCAATCCTCCCATGTTAGCTTCCCAAGTAGCTAGGACTACAGGGTTGTGCTACCACGCCTGGCTAATTTTTAATTTTTTTATATGTACAGGGCCTGGCTGTGTTGCCCAGGCTGGTCTCAAACTCCTGAGCTCAAGTGATCCTCCTGCCTCGGCCTCCTAAAGTGCTGGGATTACAGGTGTGAGCCACTGCACCTGGCCAGAACATTGTTAATGTAGTTCAATATGAGATAAATGATTATCTTCAGTGAAACAAGCTCTGAAACCATTCTCATTCCTAAATTGTATTTCAAACTTCCTATTTTGTTGATATTTCTTAACTTCTGGCCAATTTTAAACCATAATATTTTAATGTGAACCAAAGATGGTATGTATTTGACCAAAGCAGTTAGTTTTAAATGTATAAAATTGAACCAAATGGAAAAAATAGGGTGGGGATGCAGTATAGATTGGTGACTAAGTGCATAGGCTCTGGAGTAAATCTGAGTTTTTTGTTAAAGGAACTAAAAAATGTACTGCATTTTCTTTGTGGAATAAAAGCCTTGCCTGAGTTGTGCTGTTTTCATAAGGCTTTTGAAGTGGTCTTGACCTACTGTGTGTAACAGTATTTCAGGTGGTCTTCCCTATGGCAGAATAATGCCATCCATTATTCTTTAATTTTTATTTTTAGAAACAGTGTTTCACTCTGTCATCCAGGCTGGAGTGCAGTGGCCTGATCATGGCTCACTGCAACCTGGACCTCCTGGGCTCAAGTGATCCTCCTGCCTCACAGCCTCCCAAAGAACTCAGATTATAGGTGTGAGCCACCACACCTGGCCACCATCCATTACTTTTGAAAGCTTCAAAAGACTTGCTTACTCAATGTCAGCTGATGGTTGATAAAAATAATTTGGCCTTTAGTGTTAAGTGAGACATCATAAAGGTATTGAGCCATGCATTATGGAGATTGGTGTCAGCTCAGAATATTGGAGTTATACATCTATTTCTGAGTTGAATACTCAGCTCCCACGAGAAAGAAAGAAAGTTTTAAGGTCCAGCTTCTTAGTCTACTTGAAGTAAAAGTTTTTTTCTTTTCTATTTCTGAGTATAAATATACTCTTATATGGGCTAAAAGGACCCCATGAATAAATAGCAGGTTCAGTAGTTGAGGGGTAGAATTTAGTAGGTTTGTTTTCAGTGTAAATCAGATAACATATGTGGAGGTCACAGCATTTTGGAAATTGAGTGTCCCCAAGTGAGCTTTGTTTATAAACTTTAGACATGTTGGAAGTGGACAGGTTTGTTAAATCTTGTCTGCCAGCATCGTTTTCTTCCTTTGTTCCTTTTCCCTCTCTGTGTTATTGCCTGCGGCAGCCAGTCCTTCCTACTAGATAGAGTTCAGATAAAGCAATGTTTGGCAAAAACATACTGTTTGACCTCCTCCCCCTCTGCTTATGAAGGGGTAGCATGATTCTGTGTTTTAAAGCAGTGATGTTTCAGCTCTGAAATGCACTGGCAGTAAGCACTAGGCTGAGTGCATGGAAACTGTTACGCTTCTCATTTTATGTGATCTCCTAATTGGTATATAGCAAAACTTTTCTAAAACTGTTTTGTGGCTTGTTTTGTAATAAAACCATGTGAAATACTGAAATATGGCCATGTGTTTTTCTAATACCTTCTGACCACGGGTGGGTGAGCTTTCTTATCAGTCTGCCCCCATTGTCGGTTTTAGGGATTTCAGGAGGTAGGTTCCTCCTCCGGGTAGGGCTAGAGACCTTCCCCTCATTGCCTGGGGGAGAACCTGGCTCCGGGGCGCGGACAGGGGCGGGTGGTAGGGGATGTACGGGTGTGTATGTGGAGAGGTATGCCAGGCTCTGTCCCTTAAAGTTTGGGGGCCGGCGGAGGCGGCGCCATGGCCGGGAGAAAGTGTCTCTCATTTAGGAGCGTTTGCAGGTCCAGAGTGAAGTCACTGAAGAGTGGAAGCGAGGAAGGAAGGAGCAGGATGATTAGACCTCAGCTGCGGCCCGCGGGGCTGGGACGATGCCTCCTGCCGGGGCTGCTGTTGCTCCTGGTGCCGGTCCTCTGGGCCGGGGCTGCGAGACTACATACCCAGCTGGCCTGCCCCGCGGTCTGCCAGCCCACGCGCTGCCCCGCGCTGCCCACCTGCTCACTGGGGACCACGCCGGTGCTCGACCTGTGCCGCTGTTGCCGCGTCTGCCCCGCGGCCGAGGGTCAAGTCTGCGGCGGGGCGCAGGGACAGCCGTGCGCCCCGGGGCTGCAGTGCCTCAAGCCGCTGCGCCCCGGGCTCCCCAGCACCTGCGGTTGCCCGACGAAGGGAGGGGCCGTGTGCGGCAGCGACAGGCGCACCTACCCCAGCCTGTGTGCGCTGCGGACCGAAAACCGCGCCGCGCGCCGCCTGGGCAATATCTCGGCCGTGCCTGTGCAGTGGGGGGACTGCGGGGATACAGGTGAGCCGCGGGGGGCGCGCACCCTGGGGACACTTTCTAACTCTGGAGGAGCGTAAAGGAACAAGACCTCACTGAGATAGCATAGTTTGCGCGGGGTCCTCCTGCGTCATTTGCCTCCTGGATTCGACCCCTCTCTGTTCCTGATTTCCTTTCCTCCATAACAGGGGCTCTTTACCTTCTGCTACGTGGATTCTCCCTCACCATGCACCTTTTGAACACTGACTTGCCTTTAACATTTTCCCAACTAGGATAGCAGGTCTGGTTCGCTCGAGGCGTACTCTTGACCCAGTATTTCTTCATAGGGAGCAGAAGGGCAGGCCCGCTCAGGAGGAATTACAACTTCATCGCCGCGGTGGTGGAGAAGGTGGCGCCATCGGTGGTTCACATGCAGCTGTGGGGCAGGTAAAGGAGGAGGAGGAAGACCTCCACTGTCCCAGCTAATGGTTTCTGCGTGCCTACCTACTCCAGACCCTTCGCAAGCGTCATTTAATCCTAAAACACCAGTGAGGAAACTGAGACGTAAAGAGGTTGAATAACCTGTTCAAGGTCGTTTAACCAAAGAGCAGAGGCACAAGGATAACTTCCAAATCCGAGCTCCCCCTGCCCACTTAGGTGGCTGGTGCTTTTTCCCCGTCCTGCCACAGACAAAATTTAAGGTCAGATGTAAGAGCTAGTAGGCATTTTCTTTTCTTTTTTTGAGACAAGGTCTTGCTCTGTCGCCAAGGCTGAAATGCAATGACAGATCATGGCTCACTGCAGCTCCATCTACCAAGCTCAAGTAATCCTCCCACCTCAGCCTCTGGAGTAACTGGGACTATAGGCAGGTGCCACCACACCCAGCTAGTATTTGTATTTTTTGGAGAGACAAGGTATTTTTATATTGCCCAGGCTGGTCTCAAACTCTCGGACCCAAACGATCTGCCACCTTAGCCTCCCAAGGTGCTGGGATTACGGGTGTGAGCCACCACATCCAGCTTAGTAGGCATTTTGGTTGTGATCTTGCTCAGCCCCCACTTTGGATGCAAGGAAATCCAGACCCAGAGAGCAGGGTTAATTTGTCCTATGTTACGAGGCCAGTTGGTGGTGGAAACTAAGCCAGAATTAGAGCCCTTTGATTCTCTCCTACCTGGGTCCTTGACACTGTGGTACGAGGCTCTTACTTTTGCCTCTAGTATTAGGATTGGGTTCAGCCTTTTCGCAGCAGAGAACCCATGGGCTGCTACACTAACCAACTCTGAAGAGGCAGTGTCCCTGGAAAAGGAGAGCTGGAGCCAGCTCTCAACCATGCTCACAAGAGATGGCTGGGGCCCTGTGCGTGCCAAGTCCATTGATACATGGAGAAAATTTACGCATAGCCAGGGAAAAGTGAAATGTCTGAGAAAACTGTGATGGAAGTCTGGGCATGGTGGCTCACGCCTGTAATCCCAGCACTTTGGAAGGCCGAGGCGTGTGTATCACCTGAGGTCAGGCGTTCGAGACCAGCCTGGCCAACATGGTGAAATCCTGTCTCTACGAAAAATACAAAAATTAGTCAGGCATGGTGGTGCATGCCTGTAGTCTCAGCTACTCGGGAGGCTGAGGCAGGAAAATTGCTTGAACCCGGGAGGTGGTCGCAGTGAGC